TGAGACAGAGGCTGAGGCGGAGGGCAGACAGGCAGGTTCCAGGAAGTGATTGCTTTCTCCAGGTTTAGGCAGATATCCAGGTAAGTCAGGATCTGGGAGGCAGAAAAACACAGGGTCAGACTTGTTCACAAAAATCAGATAACAGATCAGAGAAGCTGGCTCAGGTTTTGCTGGTACCATTACTGGCAAACACTCTGGCAGGGAAGTGTCAGCCTCCTCCTCCTTATGAAGGGCTCATGATGAGCAGATGGAAAACAGGTGTGTCGAAGTCAGCTCATGCCCTCAGGTGGAAGATCTCAGGCGCCCTCAGGTGGAGAAAGTTAGACAAGCCTCCAGATCCCAACAATCAGGACTGCCACTGACAGAACGCCTATTTAACGCATGCTAGAGCGTGCACAAGTCACTCATACAAGCTTTCTGTGTCTGACCGTCCGCCTTAACCCCTAAATCCCTCCATCACTATATAGAGCGAGGACTATATAGTGAACTCAGTTAACTGACCGTTCAGACAGATGATCACCCTTTTTTGCTCCGTTGGTCAGGTAACTCCTCTTCTAACCGCGCGGTGCCTGCACCATCTTTGTTATTAGTTGCCGCTGTTGGGTAGCGACAGCCTATAGCGACAGCGGGCCGCTGTGACAGCAAATCCCATAATACTTTGTGAGGAGAGCTCTCCATGCAAAGCATTCTGGGATATATCTGCCTCTAAGGCCTTTATTTTCTTCTCCTGCAGTTCATAGACACTTTTTCTCTTCTGACCTTCAGCTATTTTCAAAGAACCTTGGTGAGACCACAGATATACGCCTGAAAGAGCGCAGAAAAAGATAGTTCACGGGACGACCATGTAAACACATCACCAGAATGATTGACAGTTAGGAGGACCACTTATTTAGATGGTCCACCTCGAAATAACAGATCATCCTCTATACCTTTAAGAAAAAAGGTAAGAAAAAAGATCATTGAAAAGATAAAAAGTTAATAAGCTAAGCTAAAAAACTAACAACTGTAAGAGACCTATGATGTAACAAAACAATGTGTCTTTCACTCTGTGTTTTTCATGGATTTCTCATAGAAGCACTATGATGAAGTATTATTTTTCTTAATATATTAGGACAAGTGGGCTTTTTTTTGTATTACATTGCCCTTAATTTTTCCATGAAAATATACATATTTTAATATTATATTCCAATAAAAGTCTTGTGATATTATGAGCACAGAACTCTAGAACACCAATACCCAGCATGCAACAGGGTTCATGGACTGTGCAGTAGCTCTGCTGGAGGTGTAAGGCTGTTGGATGTAGACCTGTGTAATAAAGTTATGCTGGAAATATGGAATAGATTTTTGTTTTTCTTTAAATGAACGTAAAATACTTACTTATGAAACAAAGTGTTTCAATTTAAAAAATGTAAGTACAAAAACGTAAGGCAACAGCAACAATACAAATCTGTGGAAAGCAGAGTAGAGGCAGATTTCAAATGGAAATACAAGCAACATTGATAAGGTACAAAAACAAACCAAAATAAATAAATAAAATAAAAAAGAATAAATAAATAATGATAATAGAACAGTAATTAACAGAGCAACAAGGGGATTCATGTTAGGATTGATGAACATTGGTGGGTGATCCCATCTGTCAGATATTCCTATGATTCCATACATTTAAGAGATTTTAAATATAACTTGCTTTAAAAAAAAAACATTAAAGACTGAGGATGATCTCAACAATCTTTGTTTATAATTAAAGAATTTTGCTAAACCCAAAATTAGATTACAACAGAGTTCTATTGTTTTGTTTTTCAACATTATTCCTAAAGTTCCCATATCTCTAGAGCTAGATTCAGGAAGGGTTATTTTTATTTTGATCCATCTTTCCAAGCGATTCCAAAATGTTTTGTTTTGATTTTAATCATAGAAGACATGGTTTAGCGTTTATCACTTTTATAGAATGAGCTTTTATTGTCATCAATATTAAAACCAATTCTTAGTAGTTCTTTTATGGGGTAAATTTCATTTATAATTTTAAAGCGAGTTTTATAGTTTATTAGATTTCCCAGTGAATAAATTTTTGTTTTTAGGCAGTTCTTAATTATGTGTTTATTGAATTTTTGGTCAGTGATTGCTGTTCTATTAATAGATAAGTGGGTAGTTGTGGGGGTTATATAATATGTTATTATATGTTTAATCTGATAAATAAATTGTTTTTGTAAGGCATTAACTAATCTGGTAAATTCAGCTTTTGGAAAAAGAATTGATATTTTACACAAAATTGTTTGTAATTTAACATGAACTATGGAATAAAAATGGCAAAGCAGTTAAAACGTCTCCTCTATTAATGATCAAATAAAAAGGACAACGCAGCTCTTTGCTGGAAATTTAGATTTTCACAGTATTTCACTGAGTCCCATTTAAAGGGTTAAATGTAATATATATTTACAATAAATCTCGACTACTTTTGCTGCATATTTTCAGTGAATAAAAAAGGAAAACCTTATTCTAAAAACTTAGCCCACAGCTCATTTATTTCACATCAGTGCAACATTCCTGCACTCATGTTAAAGCTGTCTCCTCTGTCTGCCAAAGTGAATCTCTCATTAGAATGAGATGCTTTTATTTGTCAACTCGGATTATTAAAGGAAAGTTTAGAAACCCAACAGAAAAAGGTCTTTTACTTCCTGCCATTTCCCGCCGAGCCGCTGGGGGCGCTACCTGCTCCTTATTCCGGACTCCGCCCTGGATTGAACACGTCACCGCGGTGTTTGTGAGCGGAGATGGCTTCAGTGAGCCGCAAACAGAGCGAGGCTGTGATGGCAGCTGATGGAGGAGCTGATGATGGAGGACAGGAGCAGGACTTTCTGGAGGAAGATCTGAAATCATGGCGGAATGTTTGCAGGCTGCTGGAGGAGGTCCGACAGGAGAGCAGAGCTCTGGAGGAGCAGGTTAGGAAAATCCTCCACGAGCTGGAAAATAACTCCATAAACTTCCTCTGACAGATTATTATGTGATTAACTGTTAAATGAATGACTCTGCCTCAGTTAGATCTGCTCATTTTAACCCCAATCACTGAATAATCCCACTAATCTGTACTGAGATTATGGTAAATTATGTTACAAGTTTTTTATTTAAAAACCAATTTCTCTGTTGAACAGAATAATATTTATCTGTGTTTTTCCTTCAGGTTCTGAGCGGCAGCAGCTCTGGACCTCCTAAAGTTTCAGCGGCTCTCTCCGCTGCAGAGGAGGTCCGCAGCTCCCTGGAGGAGCTGCTGCAGCGCGAGCAGCGGGTCTCCGAGCAGCTACAGCAGGTAGGAGGTCTGCAGCAGGTAGTAGGTCTGCAGCAGGCAGGAGGTCTGCAGCAGGTAGTAGGGCTGAGGTCTGCAGCAGGTAGGAGGTCTGAAGCAGGCAGGAGGTCTGCAGCGGGTAGGAGGTCTGAAGCAGGCAGGAGGTCTGCAGCGGGTAGGAGGTCTGCAGCGGGAGGTCTGCAGCGGGTAGGAGGTCTGAAGCAGGCAGGAGGTCTGCAGCGGGTAGGAGGACTGCAGCGGGAGGTCTGCAGC